TTTTTATTTATTTATTTCTTAATCTTTTTCTTTTCCGTTAAAAGACGCGACAGAGGCCAATTATTACGACCATACTTGTTTATTATCGCTGTTACATTTATTATAAGATCTCACGTAGGAGTGCTTAAAAATACTTACTAATTTAATGAAAATCATCTAGTGTATATTTAGAGGAAAAACTGTCTCTCAAACGTTTGACTTTAAATTGAAAACGGGTGTTTATATTAAAGAATTTGAATTTGTAATATACGTGGGCATTTCTCTCTAGTATAACTTAAAGCCATAATTTCATAAATAAGTGCCCATATACTGCCAGAATTTATTTCGTTAACTTGCATCTCAAACATAAAGGCGAAGCTTAATACTAAATAAATTAACTTAATAAATTACTTAATAATAATTAAAAATAATATAATGATGATGTGAAAGTAGGCCTTACATATCTTTGTAACAAAAATACGGGCAGCGAACTACTTTAATCTAATTCACTGTCATTTTTTTTTATTTGGATTTTTTTTTGCCTAAATTTTTTTTTATGGTCGACTGTTACCTCTAAATAAAATAAATTATACCACCGTAAACTGACGTCCAATGATTATAACTGATATACAGATTAACCGATCACTGCTGAACTATTTTCTTTTTTACGTATAATTTAATTTGAACAAATTATACGAGACGTGTCCGTATTATAATTAATTTGTGATACAACAAATATAAAAATACTTAATATAAAGGAAAAAAGGAGATTGCAACGTTTAAGGCAAATGCTTTGGTCAAAATTGAAGGGAAGGTGAATTATTGTATCAAGATTTACAAAATATACGATTAATTTCGTAATTACAATGGAATCATTACAATGGAAATTGTATTTACTTCTTAAGAACGGCAGCCTCATGCACCTCACGCAAATTCCAGTTGTGTTGGTTAATATGGGTACTGGAGTTTGTCTGTGTACACATGAAGAAAGCAGCTGAATGGTCGCGGAGAGAGACGAGCGAGTAGGCTGGAAAAAGGACGGATATGGAGATGAAGGTAGAGGAGTAAGATATGTAAAATGATATAAAAAGAGGAGATATTTAAAGATATTTAGAGGAAAGATGCATTTAGATAGGCAAAGGTAGAAAAGCAAAAGCAGCAAACATTGTAGTAAAGGAAGCAGGATGGACGAATAAAAGATGTTTTTTTTTTTTTTTTTTTTTTTTTTTTTTTTTTTTTTTTTTTTTTTTTTTTTTTTTTTTTTTTTTTATGAATTTAAGAAGGTAAGACTTTCCTTTATGTATGCAACATAGAAAATGAAATAAATATATATACTACTATCATAAAAAGTATTACACATTATGAACAATATATTTATTTATTTAAGTACACATTCTTGAGAACGTATAATTCTGTAATTATATATATATATATATATAATTATAACTTTTGAGTATTTCGTCTTAAATTTTGTAGTAATTGCTTTATTCGTTTAAATACAAGTGTTTCTGCACAAATTTTATTTACTTTACTTCATTCAAATTAAATGCTGTTATAAATACTGGTTACTTTAAAAGTTGATTATTAAAAAATATTTTTTAAACTTCATTGTATCCTATATGATATAGTGAATCAACTAAATCATTAATATTCACGTATTAAATTAACGTATAGAGATGTAGAAACCGTATAGAAAACGTATAGAAAATGTAATATTTGTGGTGTACTTTTCGTTATATTACAAATATGTATTTTTTTAAGATTTGTATTCATAACACTTGAGAGAATTAACAGTAAATAATTAAATTGTTATAATACTAAAATTTTGATAAAATTACGATTATATTCTAGTGCACAGGATAAATTCATTGTGACATAACATATGGAATTTTTTATTTTAATGCTTAAACAATAAAAATTACATGCTTAGAAATAATGTTTATTGTTAATTGCAAAAAATTGTATTATTCGAAAGTTTTGGATGCACACGAAAAAGAATTTTCAAATGGTCTAAATCCTTCAAAATGTCGAGCATTATACAATCCTGTAAATAAAAAAAAATATTAAAAATTATTATTATTTAATACAATACATAAATAATTCGGTATCTTATATTTTTCAATTATTATTTTACGTAAGAAATGTAATACAATTCATTATTTATTTCTACAACTTTAAATGCCCATGTTCAAAATTATATAATATTAATTATATAATATAAATAAGTAATACCAATTTAAAGACAAAACAATAAAAATAAAAAACATTTTTACTTTAAAATACTTTGTTGTAATTATAGAAAAAGTGACTCATTGTATTCATTAATAATATGCTGTATAATTATAGCATTATTATATGATGTAATTTATAAATAATATCCATATGTTTTATTTAAAGCATATACATTCAACGCAACATTCGATCTTTGCCACAACGTGGCCAGAAGGAAATGTACTTTCTTACTTATTTCATGCTTGGTTTGAATAGCTTATCTTGGACGTTCAAAACTGAGTGTTTAACATAGCTACATAAAAATTTGTTATTCAATTAATAATGAAATTTCATATTGTTTATAATTATTGTGTGCATTTCTTTATCCTTTTTGAAATATCTCTAGTTCACGAAATTGTATAATAAATAATGATTAATATGTGTGTTTTTGTAAATAGAGAGCCTTGATAAAAATGATAGACCGACAAATTCATTAATCAGTTAATTTCAAATTAATTTCAATTAAATAAATAAATTAATGTTTATGATTATTGTAATAACTAATTATATTTCTTTTATTAAATGGTTTTCTAACTTTTATTTTAAAAATTTTGCTGTTAATAAGCCTTGTTAATTAATCAATGACTCATAATGTCAGTTAACTAGATTTATAACTTGTACTTTCTCTTAAATTTATACGTACAATACTTAAAACAAAAAATAAACAAAAAAAAAAAAAAAAAATCATACCTACATTTTAGAAATTTATGATGAAAAGATACATAAAATATTTTAACTCTTATATTTCGTCTTTTATTGTTTGTGTACTTTGCAGAGACTCGGTCTTAGGTAAAAATTATAATTGCTTTAAAAATTTTGTTAATTTTAACATAGTTTATATTTAAAAGATATAAATAATACTAATACAGGGGAATAAAATATTGTAATCGATCTAAACGATACGATTATGAATCGTATTGTCAAAATTGATTTAGCATTTAGTAAATTGCACTACCAATATTGTTCAACACTAAAATGTATTTAATCATAAAAATAACTGGTTTTTAAGCCAAGTATTCCAAGACAATGTCAATATAACGTACAAATACAGGCATTTTAAGTAGCGATTGTAGCTTTTGCAAATAGCATCTTGCATTGTTTCAACAAAACGTTAATAAAATTTTGCCGATGGTGCACTGCCCAGACGCGGTAGCATAATTATATATCTTTTATGTACGTAACGAGGAACGTTAATATATATTTTTACTGAAATGTATTTTACCATTAAGTTTACTTGCAAATGCAAATATTTCCATTTAAAACCAAAAAAGAAAAAAAAATATGATACCTATTACGTAGCTTCAGTGTTCCAACTATCGTTTTATTTTCTTCTTAAGAAAAAACAAAAGTAGTTTTCACAATTTTCAGCGATAATTTTGTATAAAAAATCGCCCCATTTACTCATTAGTGATATTAAAAATATAAATCATCCGGTTTTTTCGGAAAGTGCAGGTTGCGTCGAGAGAAATTTCATGTACATAAAGTGAATAAAGTTATACATGATTTTAAATAGACGAGACACCAAGTAGAATTCTAAACGTTGCGGCGTGACGTCATTATTACGATTAGCCATCATGATACGAGCGAACGTGCGCTCTCTCTCTCTCTCTCTCCCTCTGTCTCTCTCACTCTCCCTCTCTCTCTCTACTTGTCTCTCTTTACGCGAGCAGATGACTTCCGTCCAGCCACGATCGCCATATTGCTTTATAGCTGAGCGTTAGACGCAGACCAACGGAAAATGCCGAGTGTTGTGGCTATTGCGGGTCCTATTAAAGATTTCTTTTTGTTACTCCGTGATACTGCAAAAAGTGATAATGCATCGAGTGTCAAGAAACCATGAACTCTGCGTAAATATAAAATAGAAATATTTAGTATATTTGTCGGCATTATGTTCAATAAAAGGCAGGCAAGCGCGTCAATTCGTTAAAAAAGCACGTAAAAAAGCAAATACATGAAAACCGAATTGCCTTGGAGTACTTTGAAAATCGGGTGTAAAAATAACATTTGAGCATAATTTTCTTCATTTCAATTGAAACTTAACGCAATTTGAATGAAATCGTTGTTCAACATAGCGCGCTCATCAATTATTAATATGCAATCACTATTATTACGAATATCCGACATTTTATCAATGTTGTTCGACACAATATTGCAATGGTCCGCTGATTACAGAAGCTTATCATCACCTCTTTCGCTCGTACTCCTCCAAATTCTCTACGTCGTGGCCAATGCCACGTTCCTATCGCAACGCTTACAATTTCCATCACTTAGCGCAGCACACCGCGTACTTAGCAGCCTCGACAGCTTCCTCGGCAATTCGAGTAATGCACGAGCCCGGCTACAGCGAGGGGCCTCAGCCCCCGCATTCAGCCGTAATACCCCCAGGCCGATGAGAACTAGCGCGGCCATTCTCTCCCGTATTTCGTCGAGGGCCCAGCGTGCACAGGAGCCGAACGATCGCCTTATCTCGGTCTCCTCCCCCGCGTGAGACCCCTCCGGGCCCGCGCGTTGACGGACGACGACGGCGGCGGCGCTGGTTCCTCGGGCCAGCTGCAGCGGCGCTCGATTCTCCCGGCCGCCTCGGTCGACAGCAGCTCCGTCGTCCTCTCAGTATCGCTTCGGCCGCCGAGCAAGTTAGACATTTATGTCCGCGCGCCCGGCACGTAAGAGACCGCCGCCGTCCCTTTGTAGCGCCCGGAGTCGAATCCGAGCTGTGCCGTGCTTATTGTCAGTGTGTGAACGGGGCGTAAGGGGGGGTGACGGTGTAGCCCATCGGCCAGTGAATCGTTCTGTTTGTTGTTTGGTTCGGTGGTCACGGGTGTGCCAAGTGCTCGCACATGTCGGAGCCAAGTGCAGCGGTGGCCCCGCGAGAAGTTGGATTTGGCGGGAGTCGGAGCGCCCGGAGGTGGAACCGGACCGTGACACCGGCAGCTGGTCGAGCGGAGCACGTGTGTGCGCGCCGCTGCTGCCATTGACCGGCCAGGCCAGTCGACGAAAGTGCCGCTCGACAATCTTATCTCCCGTGTCCTTCGAGGTGAGATTAGGACTAATCGGCGCTTTCGATTGGTCGGTTGAATGGGTTTTTTATTTAGTTAGCGGGTCAATCGGTTTAGGGCCCCGTTACCGATTCACCTGCGAATTGCCGACGCAAGCGAGTGTCACGAGACGGCCTTTGATGAATAAAACTTGGGTGATCGGTGGTGGGGGTGTGAGTAGAGGATTGCAAGAGGATTAAATAATCGCGTGCACCTTTTCCAAGGACTAGTAGATTTTTCGAAATTTTAAGAGACAGAGCTCGATCGGCTTGATTAGTGATTAATTGAGTATTAACAGTGACGCGCTTTATCGGTCCGCCAAAACGACAATTCGGAGTTCGTCCGTGATATTGGGATATAAAGTGCCTGGCGTTGTTTATCCTTTCTCGCGATTCCGATAATTCTTATTTCAAGTTCGTGTCGTATGTGCGTAGCGTTCCCGATCATGGTGAAAAACTGCCTCTCTCGTTAATTTTATCAAATTGACGCTACTGTAGGCGTTATCCCGATTATCTCTATGCGACTCTTCTGGGGCTTTTGTATAAAGTCACTTAAAATGTATAGAATAAATGGCCGTGTTGATTTACTTTGTGCAAGTGTTTATGGCGCTTGGAAATTGTATCAAAGTAATGTATCGGAGTAAATTTCAGTCCGCGCGCTGAAATGACATGCTGATGTTTAATAAATGGGTTAAGCTTTGAGCTACTACGAACGATAAAATGTGCCCGCTGAGCGGGAATAAAATATGTTTCATTATGCAAATCCGAAGTTCGTGTAATGTTAATTAATTTGACGAATGGCCAAGGCTTATACATCGGTCACTTTGGCGATCGTTGGTAAAAAAAAAAAAAAAAAAAAAAAAATTCTACCCATAATAACGGATGGTCGTCGATAATCCGTAAAAGTTGACAAAACAACGAGTTATATAGGCGCCGAAGCAGTTAATGCTCAAACGATCCTATAAAGCGTGCAAAGCCAAACTGTTCTAAAAAAGAGCAGCTTGCAACTTTTGAAAAATAAAATTCACATTGGAAAATCGGTCTACTGGAATGTTTACGTAACTAATACATTGGTTTATTAATCTACAAGTTCATTGACTTACATTGTAATATTACATCTCCGTTGTTTACGATCTTATGCTCATGACTCACGGACATGCAATGGAATTTTCGTTTTAGAAAAAACTCAAGCGATAATGATTATCGATAAAGAAAACCATTCTAAACGAGATAACAGTCTTTGACAGGTAATATTTGCTTTAAATAACAGTGTCGGATTTTTGCGATAGATTATATTACTGCCAAACGCTTAATCAAAACTGAGTAGCGATCTACGCTTAGTAAATTCTTAAATATTGTAGATACATTAAGAGGCAGCTGATAACATTTGATTAACATAATTTATAGTCTTATAAGCGTAGCTAGCTGTAAAAAATATTTTGAATTCAGAATTTTTTATCGCGCAAGAACGACATTTACTGCTCGAATAGTCACATTCTACTTCTTCTTTTTTGTTCTTTCTTTCTCTTTTTTTTCTTCATATAGGCTGCCCTTAGCCTATCGCGATTTAATATTTTTTTTGTTTTTTTTTGTTGTTGTTGTTTTTTTTAATTATGCATTTATGCGAATTAAACATTTACACGCTGGCAGAGCTATTTCAACTATTTTAAAATTCCAAAAGCCTCTTAGGTTTTATTTTCAATTGCCAGATATTCTATTGCTATGAATTCGTGCTTGTAATAAAATAACCAAAGATTGACCATTAATATCTCATGATTTATCTATTTAATTATAATATTAGTTGTTTCACTATCACTCGTTAAGAAAACTCTTAATAATCGAGTGAAAATTCAATTACACTCGAGTCGGCGCTTTCAAAGTTTTAGAAACTTAATTTATCTTATTTCTTTAAGGCGATTAATAATGAAATTGGATTGTAAATTAAAGATGAAAAAATATACCAGAAGAAGAAATTCACCACAAGAGAGAACAAATTTTTTTCATCATAAATAACGCATCATTCGCATTTCAACACCAAGGAGAAAAACAAAAATAAATTATATTTTATTCCAAGAAAGTGAATGGGAGAAATATATTGATGTATGCATATGCTATGCAAGAATTCTAAATTCCTTGAATAAAACAAAAACCTTGTATTTTAGGAGTCTAGCATAAATTTTTTTACATCCATATTTTACTGCTCATTATATTCCAAATAAAAGTGATGTCGCGAATCTCTACTACTAGGCTCTCTTTTATCCAGATGTTATCGATATAGTCTTCGCATAGGTCCGATTATTTTTTAGTTATAGGGACATGGTCCTCGGCTCGACGGGGGAGTGACATTCTACTTCTGCCATTCTGACATAAAAGAAACGAAGGTCATGGTCGTAGGTCATTGTGGAATTTCTGTCATTACAGCCAATAATAGTTCAAATACAGTTGGCGAAAAATTTTGTGCAAAAATCTGTAAATTAAAAAAAAAAATTATTTAATATTGAATCGAAAAATTGGAATAATAGGTTATTGTAGGTTATATGTGTTATAACGATTGATGTTAATCTAAATAAATTCCACAAATCTTAGAATACTTACCGAAAATCGTTATTTGATTAACAGCGGCATATATTTTTTCTGGTGTATATTTTATCATAATTCTCGAGTAATCATATTTGAAGAGAATCATTACATTATGGCAAAAAGAGCCAATTTTAAAAAATATCAATAAAAAAGAAAAAGAGTAATCAATCAAAATGTTTACTAAACTGTTACGATTATACAAATATATGGTTCAAAATGCGTAATAATTTCAATCTTATCTAGAATGTTTATAAAAACTAATATACGGATTTCATTTATAAAAAGTTAAAATGCATGATTATCTCGAGCAGTATAGTACAACCGGCTTATTGCAGTCCTTAAAGCGAACGAATTCTAGCGAGGAGCACTTTATATTTTTTCTAATATCGTAGAATTTACAATCAATTAGTTTATTTTAATTGCGCACAATTTATATATAATAAACGTTATCGCTGAAGAAAAATAGCTTTAAAAAACTATGAAATTAATTTCTCTTACCATTTTAATCAAAATTGTTTGAACAATTCAGTATTATTGATTATGCTTTCATAGGTAAATTCCATAATGTTATGTTCTTAAATTTTTTAATATTGCAATAAAATGTATGCAAAATTACTTTTTCATGGCTTTTATTACTACGTACATAATTTCTTTAACATTTCTCTCTCTCTCTCTCTCTCTCTCTCTCTCTCTCTCTCTCTTTCCCGATTCCCTTATTATGTTTTATTTTAATTCTCGTGTTTGCATGTATTTACCCATGACGCAAATGCTATTTCAAATATAAAACGCGCCCAAGTCGTTACGTGTTTATTCGACTGCTGTACATAATCTTTCACAGCAAGAGAATTAAAAGTTAGCTACACTTGACTGTTTACTTAATCAAGTAATAATAAATAACTGATATGTAACAAATGTATTATAAATTTATTCCATAAAAATCTACATGACACAGATATAAAAGACTATGTTTCATTTATTTCTAAAAAGGTTCGAAATAAATTTTTATTTTTCTAGTTTGCTGCCGGAGTTTATTTAAAAGAGTTTGAACAATTTTATTTGTCGATTAAATGAAAGTAATTCTTCAATCTGTTGCAACATAATTGCTCTTCAATTTATTCGATAATTTGAATATGATATTTAAACATATATTTTAATACTAATGGCCGTATGGCAAACGACATTATACATAATACAAATAGCTTGTATAATTTTTTCCCGAGCCATTCATTTGCTGAATTAATTTGCATAATTGGATAGAACATCTAACACAAGATTAAATGTAAATACTTCATTGAATGTGTAAAAGTAGTATTCTTCAATTACAAAATTCTATCATTATTATTATTGTTATTGTTGTTGTTTTCGTTACTGTTATTATTATTAGTCAAATGCAAATACTTCATGTCATTGAGGTAAATTATTAATTGAATAATCTTAAATATCACACTGTTAAACCAGATGTGCGTGTATTAGAATATTATTACTATTAATTGACTGTACTCAACATATTTATAATGATTCGTGCAATATTCGACTATAGTAAGGCGCTGGTTTCTTCTTCATTTTCCAACCGCCAGAATCAACAATTACTGCTAGCTATTTTTGCGCCAAATCATACGTGACACGAATGACGTTCGTACGTTGCCTGTTTGTAATTAATTAGTGATTAATGGTATACAGTGACGCGTAAGTTCACGTACCAACTCGCGACTTAATTTTTTCTTTCGGTTACGCAAGTAAAATACACTGCGCATTTCTGATGCGCTTTGGGTTGAATGTATCATCATATCCTTTCAAAGCTATTTATTATTTAATTCTAATTTATTTATTGCTATTTATTATGTTTTTATCTTTAAAATTTACTTTCGGCTGCTATCCATACACGTTCATACTGATTTTCGTAGACTTTATCACCGACATAATTTACATTTTACAAGGATGTGCATTCCCAAAATTTTTATTTAGATGTAATAACATACTTACTATATACAATCTACGCACGTTTTTAAAGAAAATATTTCAATAACAATTTTTAACAAATATTTTTAAAAGCTGCTATAAGTTATTTTCCAAGTTTTATTTCGAATAGATACAACCATTTGTTGTCGTTGTTTGTAATATTTATTAGGTTGCGGTTCAAGGTTATGAGAAGAAAAAGAAAAGTTTTTTTTTGGATAAGATAGTTCGGAACAATATTTTTTAAGTGAATATTACGTATTATCCTGCACATTGCAAACGTTGAAAAAGCTTTAATGAAACAGCTATTACAGTTGTATCGACTATAAGATCCCATTGCGGCTACAACACAGGTACGGTATTGTCACAAATCATAGCTTTGTATTTATATTTTGATTATTTAATAGAAGCTCAAGACGCTTAAATTACTGCACCTTTCTTTTACCTTCTTTGACCTAAAATAA